GAGATATAAATTTATTTGGGAGATCTCTTGTAGAATTATGTTGTATTCATAGTATCCATATTTTTAAAATGGTCGTTTGTACAATGATGTTGCAGTTAATTTTACTTGTTTAACTTACAATGGATCAAGTGTTGTTGACTATCACATTGTCTCGTCTGATATTTTTTCTCATATAAGTTATTTTAACGTTGAAGAGCGTCACGAATCAGATCATTTACAAATTTGTGCAAGATTGACTTTAGAGCGAGGGCAACCATTTGTTAGATAATAATAAAGAAAAATGAAACCTTTAATGAAGTACATGTCGACAAATATAGATGGAATGATAGGTATATGGCGGATTTCTTACAATTATTTACCGCGGAGTATAATTCTATACGAGAGAATTTACTTAATGAAATAGATCTAAGTGTTAACAATGCAGTTAATCATATCATTAATATTTATAAAAATCATCAGCAAAAATATGCGCGTTAGATATTTAGCGCAAAATAGTGTGAATAATAATTCAACCCTGGTGGGACCGAGAATGTGAAACAACTAAGCAGCTTAAATACGCAGCTCTACGACGTTTTCGCTGGACTAATAACACATTAGACTTTCAACAATTTGTAGCGCTCCGAAAACGTTTTAAAAAAAAACTTGTTATATAAAAAAAGTATCTTTACCAAAAGTCTAAGCGCGATCAACTAATTACGTTACGATCAAATCCCAAAGCCTTTTGGAAACTGTTAAATCTAGAAATGGTAATATAAATGAACAATCTTCATTGATAGATACGGGAGCTTGGTTTGATTATTTTCATGAGTTATTATTTAAAAGTAACCAACCTAATATATGTGAAAGTAATTGGGACTTTAGAGTTAATACTGATGAGGAAAATCAGTATTTAAATTCTGAAATTTCCTCCGATGAAGTCATCAAAAGTATAAACAAATTGAAATGTGGAAAATCACAGGGAAGTGATGACATCGGAGCAGAATTCTATAAAAATACTTCGTCATTAATCGCACCTGTCCTTTGTAAATTGTTTAATAAGATATTTAGTACCTGGGGGGTTTCCCCAGACATTTGAGGGATAGTATTTATAGTACCTGTGTACAAGTCGGGGCCTCAGGATGACCCCTTCTAATTATTAAGAATTTCCTTTGTTATTTATGTTAATCAATGTTAGTATAAAATATTTTCTAAATTTAATATGATAGGTTATATAATTGGGCTGAAATTTGATAAAAAGATAATCCCAAGCCGGAAATTTCGAGCCGGTTCTCTACAATTGATAATATTTTTATATTACAAAGTATGGTACGAAATATATTATAAACGGGCGGACGATTTTTGTTTTTTCTGTAGATTTTTTAAAGAAGCATTTGATGGACTTAAACATTTTAATTATTCCCAATACATAAACAGTGTGGCGTTAGGGGGGAATTTATTTCGTTTTCTTTTATCAATGTATCAAAAGTGCCGGTTTGGGTTACAATTAGTTATACCAAAAACTACAGACTATTTTTAAAATGTAACATAGGTACAAGACAAAGGGGACGTAACAAGTCGTATAAATGAGTTATCTCCCTTTCTGCGTAATAAGGGACATCGCGGTATATATTCATTACGGATCAAATTCCCGATATTATATGCATTCTTTTCGCTGATGATGTTGCAAATTGCGCCGATACTGCGAATCGAACTTCAGTCTCAAATTAAATTCAATTTCAGATTTTTGTTAATATACCGTATGTCTATAAATGAGAATAAAACTGAAATTATTGTATTTAGAAATGGTGGACCGCTCAGATCATATGAAAAATGTTTTTACAACGGCAGTTCAGTAAATTGTCACACCAATGTACAAATATATGGGTCTTTTATTTTACACCTAAAATTAATCTTGGACAAAAGCAAAAACTAACTTGCTGCACAAGCTAGGAAATCTATTTATGCTATTAAATCATATCAAAGGGAAAAAGGAAAGTTTTTAAACCCCCTTATTATTTTTTAAAATTTTTTACTCTATGGTAAAACCTATACTTACCCACGGGGGGCCAAATTATGGAATTTAAAACTCTGAAATTCTTTAAAAAAAGTTCAAAACAAATTGTAAAGATTTTTTAGGTGTTAAAATTTTTCTGTTACATATAAATGTTGCATTGGGGGAATGTTTGGGAAAGGGTGCCTTTATGTTTGATCATCATGTAAAAAATTTTCAAAAAAATTGTTGGGAAAATTCTTTGTATGCCCGAAAAACAGATATCCTGAAATTGTTAAATTTTATGTTAACTAACAAGATAAAAGTTTGGAAAAAAAAATTGGGGACTTTTAGTAAAAAAATTATTGTTACTTTTGGGGTTTTGGGTTTGTATGGCTAAATTAAAAAATTTGGGGGTAAACAATCTATTTATTTGTCAATTTAAACAAAGAATTATTGATTGTAAGACACAAAATTGGATGGAAGAAATTCAGAATTCACCCCGATGTGACACCTATAAATTTTTCAAATCTATGTTAAATCCTGAAAAGTATTTATCTATTGATATGCCATTTTATGTAAAAAGATCATTTTCGAGATTTAGATGTTCTAGTCATAAATTATATATAGAAACTGGACGACATTTGGGTATACCAAGATATGAGCGAATTTGCCAACACTGTTTGCAAAATTATAACAATTCGTTCATCGAAGATGAATTTCATGTATTTTTTATTTGTAATAGATTTTCCCAACAAAGACAACGTTATATATCTCCATGGTACAGTCATGATTATACATTCCATAATTTTTGTAATTTGATTAAAACTAAAAATGAAGAAAACATAAAGAATATTGCTTTTTTTGTTCATGAAATTATGAAAATTGTTGATAATTAATATCAATAGGAAAGCATGTCATATATAACAATGTATATTGTAGACACAGCTAAATATGTATTTCTGTTTTGATTATATTGTGTATTTTGGGCCGGAGGCCTTTATTTACAAAATAAAATGTTGATGTTGTTAGCAAAATATATAAAATTTCACACAACAAGACTTAATATACTTAAAATAAATGACCTATGGGTTAATATATATATAACCCTTTGTGAAGCTCCATAAGGCAATGTTTCATGCAAAATATGCCAAATATTTTTACTCTGTGCAATGTGGTTTAGAGAATATTTTTAAGATAATTTTCCTATACATGTCTGTATAAACTAAGTGTCCCCAAGGGACAATCCATTTTTTATCACTAAAAGCATGATTTTTATATAACTTTTGTAGAGGTCTATGTGGTGTCACATGCAAAATAGCCAAGGGTTGGGCATTTTAGTTTCAACAGACTTAAATTGTTTTCCTATATATGTTTTACTCTTATAGTACATTTTCAGGAGCAGGTAAATGCTGCTCCTACATTGATATCCATTGATATGAACATATTTACCCTGCAAATTTTATTTGGCAATGCAACTGATGTCTTGTGGGATTCTAAACTCTAATTATTGACCCAAAACCAAATTTTCTATTTTAGGGAACATTGCCCTTGACCTTGAACCCTATGTGGCCCTAAAGCAATTACACAATTTATTTACACAAGAACTGAATTATCTAAAAACAGTTCCCTGCACTGCACTAAATGCCACTGGAATGCACTTCATACGGATTTAATCCAAAGGTACAAGACTTCATCAGATCCTGTAACAATCTTTAGTAATCAAATCAAGTACCAATAATTTCTACAATGTTTGAAGCATGTGCACTGGAAAAATGTCAAGAGATATGTCATCATAATAAGATAAAGATCAACAAGTTTTAAAATATGATGTTGGATGAAATGAGGGACCAAAGGACAACACCTTTCATTATCCCATTTTTTTCTATTTTATTGACAAGGATAACAAAGTCTAAAACATTGGCCATCTAAAATTGACACTATAAGAGGGCCATGATTAATAAGGCTTTTAATGAAACAATTATTATTGTTAACTATGAGATAAAAGCAGATATAATGGCTTAAACTGATGTCATTATGTTCATATTAGCATCTGAAATAGTGCAAATATAAACAATCAGTATTCAATATTTGAGCTATGTCATCTAGTTTTTACCCAAGATGACTGTAATTCAAACATGAGCTAGAAATCAATTAAACAACCTTGCTGAAAAATTTCCAAGATATTTGGGCTGAAATTTTTTTCAGTATTAACATGGTTTACCCATATTTGGGCTGTGTGACCTAGTTTTTGACCCCAGATGACCCATATTTGAACTTGAGTTAGAAATCACCAAAACAATCTTTCTGACCAATATCTAGGATAGTAAAGCTTAAAATGTAATTTCTGAGTGTAAACAAGGATTTTCCACATTTGGGCCCTATATGATCCATATTTGAACATGAGTAAGGAACCATCTAAACAACCTTTCAGAACTATTTCCAGGATATTTGGACTGACACAGTAGCCTTGAGATTGGTAACAAGATTTTGCTACTTTTGGCTCCTGTGACCTAGTTTTTCATCCGAGATGACCTATGTTTGAACTTAAGTCCGAGCAATCACTGGGACAAACATCCAGACCAAGTTTGGTGACAATTGGGGCAAAAAATAAGCAACAAAGTGTTAACAAACTAAATGTGGAAGAACAACAGATGAAGGACATTCAATGATCCTAGAAACTCACTAGGTGAGCTCAAAATCTTGCTAACATCATAAAAGAAATTGCAGAAATCATAAAACATGATCAATTTATATAAATCCAGTTTTTCCTAAAACTTCAAGGAAGAAAAATAAATATATAAGGTGATTCATGTGTAATAGACAAAACATAATGTGAAAAGATTACATAAATTTTGTATTTAAATAAAAAAAGAGCCACTGCCGGGCGGGGGCAACGCTTGACTTTTTACTTTTTCTAAAAGCAATTAAGAAATGTTTGAACAAATCTAAACGTTTTCTTTTTATAAATTTACTCGGTCTGTCCTGTCACATTAGTTTTGTCTATATAAATATATTCATATATACGCACCATGGTGGGTGGTGGTTTGTTGGTTGGTGGGTGTGTGTGTGTGGTGGTTGGGTGTTGGTGGGTGGGTGGGTGGATGTTGGTGGTGGGTGGGTGGTGGTGGTGGATGGGTGGTGGGTGGGTGGTTGGTATTGGGTGGGTGGCTGGGTGGTTGGTAGTGGGTGGATGGATTGGTAGTGGGTGGGTGGATGGATGGTGGTGGTTGTTGGTGGGTGGATGTTTGGTGGGTGGTGGTGGGTTGGTGGTTGTTGTTGTTGTTGATACATATATATATATATATATATATACACACACCAATAAATATATATGGTCATTTAATGTACAAATCTGAGAAAATTCAGTAATTTAACCTTCAAGGTCAAGGTCATTAAAGAGCCCAAGTCAATTTGGGTTTGATAAACACCAAGGTCTTGTCATTAAGAATGTTCTGTTATAATATGAAGTTGATCCCTTCAATAATAGCAAAGTTACAGCCAGTTACAGCCAAAACAATGAAAAATTCAATAATTTGACCTTCAAAGTCAAGGTTATTAATGAGTGACGGTCAAGGTCTGTCCGGTTATTTTTAAGGGTTATCCTTGAAGATTATAATGTTCAAGTTTGAAGACAATCCATTCAAAAATAACAAAGTTACAGCCAATAATAGCAAGAACAAGCAAAATTTGATCTTTTGACCTTGAAGGTCAAGGTCATTTATGGATGAAGGTCAAGGTTAATGTGGTCTACTGAAAGGTCTTGTCCCAAGGGTTGTTGTGGCCAAGTATGAAGACAATACACCAAGAAATAAAAAAGTTATGATCCAGGTACAAGTTTGCGGACAGCAACGGCAATGCCGCCGTATCACTATACCTCTACTTTTTTAAAAAAAAAAAGTCGAGCTAAAAATGAAGATGGAAGAGTCAGTGCCACCCTTTTGTAACAATATTAACCTAAGAAATAAATGAAGTTACAATTAAATACATGTAAATGAATTAATTGAAATTAATACATATCTGTATCCAAAAACCTCATATGTCCAAATATTGCACATAACAAATAATAAACTAGAACTATCACTGAATGTGATAAATACCCACTGCAAACGGTTTTTATTCCTAAACCAAGAGCCACCACAAAGCAGGCCCACATTTGACTTATCCTTACTACCATTCATGAGAAGCTTTTATTGATGAAAGTCTTCCTAAAAGGCTACAGTCATATTCAAATTACCCACTATTCAATGTTGTTTTGTCCAAGTATACCCCAAATACATTGATTAATAATAAAGTTGAAACAAAGTCACAAAAACAATGTTTTAGAATAAATGAGTATCAGTCAACTGAAACACTTAAAATAAGAAATATCACAACTAAAATTTGAGCCACCATGTCCATTTCTTCAGTACATATCTGTCATCTAAGTGTTGTCCAATACGTCTGCTGTTGACTGGTTCCTTTTTCTCCCCCAGTCTGGGAACCATGAAGTGCCCATTCCATTTTCTGCATGTACTTCTGGTAGTGAATTTGACCTACTTAATTTTGAGAGTTCTATTTCTGTTACTTTGTCTCTCCTTTTTTTAATATACCTTCCACTCAAAAATCCTGAATAAGAAATAAACACTTTTATTAACACAAATGCCATGTATCTTAAGGAACAAACAAATATGATCTGCTTGGCAAGGTATTATCTTCTATTTAAAAATAAAGTTCTGTGTAAGCCTTTCATCTTAACAAGACCTATTGATCACAAAGCAACTTTTAAGTCATGATGGTCTGTAACAACAGATGGTGCTTGATTCTTTTTCTTGCATATTACATGTTAATTACGAAAACTAATATATTTATTTAGCACTTTTTTCTTACGGTAGCGTATGAATTTACAACTTCATTCATAACGGTAAAAAAAGATGTCATTCTATTCATTCATAAAAAGACACTCGGGAATGACATCATTAACAACATGCAGCTTGACTTAAATGGGAGATGTAAGAGAGATTTTTGTCTGAATTGCAAAAATCATCTGGTAATATCTGAATAAGACAAAAAGGTATTTGAAACTATGAGCTGATAATTTTTGCCACATGATGACCAATTTTAAGTTTAGGCATATCTTTACCATCAAATCCTTAACAAATGTCACCAGTAACAAGAACAGAACTAAATGTCTCAGTATTTGATGTATTTTACACACAACAGAATAAAATTTGATTATGAAACAATCTAATCATAACAAGATATGTTTGCAAAACATGTATGCCCCCTATCAGCAGCCAATATTAGTCATGTGACCTGGTTATTATGACTGACTTTGACCTAGTGACCAAAAAATCAATAAGGGTTAACTACTGGTCATGACTAGTCACTATGTAATTGTGACTGCAAAGGTTATGTGCAGCAATTTTATGACAAAGTTATTACAAATCTTACCAAATAATATATGCATAAAATTTATGAATCATGTAGGCATCATTAATGACAGCCAAGTTGTTATATTACAAACGACCTTGAAAGGACTTTGAGTTTAATAAAAAAATATCAACCAAGGCAACTTTAGTTGTTGAGTTATTGGTCAGAAACAGTCTTTACATACAAGGTCAATATGACATTGACCTTTGACCCTTAAATCGATAGGGGTTATATACAGGCCAAGACCAGTGCACCTGTGAAGTTTGAAGGTAAAGGGTCCATAAGTTGGGATATTGATCAGAAAGCTTTGTTACCTATAAGGTCATTGTGATCTTGACCACCTTTGACCCCAAATCAATAGGGGACATCTGCTGGTCGTGAACAATCATCATACCAAGTTTTAAGTTCCAAGGCCTAAACGTTCTTTAGTTATCATTCAGAAACTGTTTTTACCTACAAGGTCAATGTGACCTTTGACCCAAAAATCAATAGGGGTCATCTGCTGGTCATGAACAATCATCATACCAAGTTTGAAGTTCCTAGGCCTAAGCGTTCTTTAGTTATCACTCGGAAACCGTTTTTACCTACAAGGTCAATGTGACCTTGACCTTTGACCCCAAAATCAATAGGGGTCATCTACTGGTCATGAACAATCATCATACCAAGTTTGAAGTTCCTAGGCCTAAGCATTCTTTAGTTATCACTTGGAAACCATCTGGTCTACGGACCAATGGACCGACCGACAGACAAATGCAAAGCATTCCTCCTTTTAAATACAAGAGGGCAGCATGTGGTGTGAATATTCTAAGTTAGAATGGGGCATAACTCAAAAAATATTGCTTAAAGGATAATGCCCCTTGTTTAACTGCTGTTGAATGTTCCTTGTCATGACCAATCCCTCTTTTTAATCAACTGTAATTAGAATTCTAGTTAATTAAAAAAAGGCATATGTTCTTTCAGAAAAATGCCCCTTGTCATTCAACTATATGCAATCATAATAATTAAAGAATTCCAAGTTTGTTTATACCATTAATTGTTTTGAAATAATTCTGTTCTAAGTTAAAAAGGGACATATATGTAACTCCTAAAATATTGCTTTCAAGATTATGTCCCTTGTTTTACAACTACATCATATCATGATAATAAGGTACTCCAAGTTTTGTGTTCATACTTTTTAAATTGAGAGATGGGCTTCATTAAAGCTATTGAACAAAGACAACAACATCAATCTTATAACAGCTTAACTTTTTATTAAACAGACAAGCTTAAAAAACACATTACTGTTTCCTTAATTTGTTTTTGTCATATTATTGCTTTCAGTAAACTATTAGTGATACTTTTTGCATATACGTACTTTCTAAAACCTTAATGTAAGTACACTGTAGCCTCGATATATTGCTCTCCGTTATAACGCTAATATCAGTATAGCGCTCATAGACCTTGGCTCCCAAAAAAAAAAAAAAAAAAAAAAACTCCCAAAAAAAACGCTTGTTCAATTTTACAGTCAAGTACAATAAACAATTATTAGGACATTTATGAGCGCCAAAGGTGTAAAAAACATGCCCAGGTTAGCATTTATCCGCTCTTTTGTTGTTTTACCTGTCCATCAGTCAGGCATCAAATTGTTTCCAAAATCCCAAATTCATATCATAACTGTGACATGGGCAACTGGTGGTGAGTATAAATAAACTAAAATTCACACACATATCTGTGACATGTTAACCTAGCTGAATTAAATAACCCACACAAGCCCAAAATCAATTTAAAATCCTGCACTGTAAATTGAACGACTGTGACAGGAAGTAAATGGCGTTGATTAACTAGGGGACACAACTAAAGCTGGACTGTAATGGCTAACTGTTTACACTACATTCATGATTTATGTTTTTCTTTTGAAATTTTTTTTTTTTCTTTTAAATATATTTAGTATTATTTGTGAATATAATATAGGGTTAACGCACGTTCTTCCGTGTTATAACGTCTGCAGAGTCCCGAGGAACGGCTGGTGCCCGAGCCCGGTATGCTATTATAGCATAAAATTTTCAAACAGATTCGTGATGTATAGTTTATACAAAACACAATTACATTAAATTCTTGTGCTTGGACGGTATTTATCCAATTCTATGTGTTACGTATGCGTTTCATTTTTCCGGGGCCAACAACTTTCGGAACCGAACGAAATTTTGAATTTTAATGATTTAACAAAGCTTGACCTTTGGAGATTTATTATCTCAAAAGAAAAAAAAACGTTACATTACTCTACCCTCTACCCAAGACAAAACATGACCCTCAGAAATTCTTAGAATGATTTCAGATTGACGGTAGAAAAAGATCAGTGACATCAGAATCGTTTTTTTTTTTTTAAGCAAACAATTTTACAAAAAAATCAGGCACTAAGCATTATTCTCTCAAAGAAATATAAAGAGCATTTATCAACACAAACATAAATAAAAAACATTTTCTCATATTAATTTTGTGTTATCTAGTTTTGTAAGTTAATCGGAGTGTTAAACTGAATGACAGGTAGATTCTACTGCATTTGTTTACATTGACAACTGTCCGTTTCTTAGAAAGGGCGACAACCAAGATTAGCACCGATGTCTATACGCAGTTTTTCCGGCATAGTTACTTGAATATGCGACTGAGGCCCTCGAATCAATAAATTTCAATATAACAAAAGCGCACATGACTCTTTGGCAAACAGGCCAAATCGTCATTTTTTGTTTGTTTGTTTACTGGGCCCTGTATGTAATGCGCATAGGTGAAACCGGGCTATAACAAGAGCGCGTGACTATGTTAACACATGGTTTTGGTCCCGTTATAACATGGGCAAAAGAGGGGAAAATAGCCGATTTTATGCTATAATATATGTTTACATCATG